GGGGAAGTTTCTCAGGCAGCCCCTGCTCAACTTGTTCCCCCTCATAGACCGGCTGGACCCTCGCTGGCTGTCCTCCCAGGCTACCTCTTCCCTGAAGCCTTCCCGGGCCCACCTGGCTGAGGGCTCCTCCAGCTCTTGGCGTGGAGCGCCTGCCTTTGGCACTGAATCTGAGAGCCACGGTATCCAAACAGATTAAGCCACTAGAGGGCACTTTAGAAAGTACTGATTCTTGGGCCCGCCCTCCTAAGCAGTTGAATCTAGGGGTGGAGCCTGGGCAAGGATCGTGATGAAAGCCCCCCAAGGGTTCTTCGAGGGCATCCAGGGCTGAGAACCAAACCACAGTGACAGAACCTTCCTTTTAGTTCACTCTCTCCGTGTACGTTGTCTCTTCACAGGGCCCAGACCGGGGCTTGGCACCTAGCAGGTGTTTGATAAATATTGGCTGACTGAAAAGTCCTAGAGTGCAGGGCTGTTCTTGTCCTCATCAAGTGACTTGCCTTCCATTCACCTGGCATGAAACCAAATGTTCGGTAACCGCTAGTAAACTGAACTAAATGAACCAGGGTGGCGAGTGGTTATTCTAAATAAGCCTTTTGTATATTTTAAGAAAAATTCTCCCATGACCTCCCTTGTGCCTGCATTGTGTGCTTTGCTTTGTTTTGTTTCCTTTCCTCCTTCTCTGGGCCGCTGCAACGCGCCTTTCTACTGAACATCCCAAGCCTGGTCCTGATTCTTTTTGGAACAAGTATTCCCTCTGCCGAAGCTCTGTGGTCTAAGAGCAGTTGTTCTCAAAGAGGTGGCCCCCCCCAAGCCAGCAGTATTGGCATCACCTGGGGACTTGTTAAGAAAGGCAGAATCTCGGCCCCCCCTCTCCCCGACTCACTGAATCCGAAGCTCCGGGGGTGGGACCGGCAGTCTGTTTTAATAAGCCCTCCCGGTCATGTTGACCCGCTGACAAAGCTTGAGAACCCCTGCCTCGAAGCCATGCTTCTCAACCCTGGCCGTACGTTCAGATCCCCTGAGGAACTTTTAAAAAATATGACTGCTCATACTCCACCCCAGATGAATGAAATCAGGATCTCTGGGAATGGGGCTCAATGTCCAAAGCTCCTCAAGTGCATCAAGTGAAGCCCAGCCTTAGCAGAGGAAGGGCCAGCGTGAGAATGCCAATAAGGGCAGGGCTGAAGCCGAGCAGAGCGCTCTGGGCCGGGCAATGGGAGCCCCCACTCCTCCGGAGTTGGCTTCACACTGGGGCATGGGGAAGGCTCGAAGCGTTCCGTTCTGTCTCCAAGGCTCCTCTCCCAAGCGTGAACTTTGTTTAGACATGTAGCAAAATCTGCCTTTTCAACTAATGCTTGCAAAGGAGGCTCAGGAAAAAAATGTCAGTGATGCCAACACTGCCAACTCTATGCTTTCTGAGCAGTGATTCTTGATCAGTCTCACGGGAGAAGAGAGTAAGAGGTGAATCACCTGCTCAGTGGTTTGTGCTGAGAATGTTCACTGAGATCTCTGGAACACTCTGGGTATGAGTAACTCCCACTTTTGAGTTCCTTTTTCTTATCTTTGGGTTTAGTCTTCTATTTCTGAATTGAGTTAAATCGTGTGTTACATTTATAATTTATATATATCATGTGTATTATTTATGTAATTATAAGTTATACATATACTTTATAATTTATATAACTATAAATTATAATTTATATTATAATTACATATATCGTAATTAGCAAAGGTATAGAAAGTATAATAATCACAAGAGTATTTACTGCTTTTTGAGAGCTTACCGTGTGTTAGGCATTAATGTTTACCACCTTAAATACATTGTTGCAGGGTGCCTGGGTGGCTCAGATGGTTAAGCGTCTGCCTTCGGCTCAGGTCATGATCCCAGAGTCCTGGGATCGAGTCCCGCATCAGGCTCCCTGCTTCTTGGGAGCCTGCTTCTCCCTCTGCCTCTCTCTCTCTCTCTCTCTGTCTCTCATGAATAAATAAATAAAATCTTTAAAAAAAAAATACATTGTCGCAGTAAACTTCAAAACTCCTGTTACCCCTTTTTTCAAGATGAGGAAATTGAGAAGTTCAGATAGAAAATGGGAGAGTCAGGATTTGAACCTAGGTCTATCATCAATGATCATACTTTTAGCCCTAGTCTCTACTGGCTCATAGTAAATAGTAGCACATGTTTATAATACAATTATAATTAATATAGTACAAAATGTAAATAATATGATACTGGATAGTGTTTTATTTATACATAAAATTACACATAATTTAACTCTCAATTGTACATAATATAAACTCAATAAATGCTCTACATGAAAATGTTACCACTTAAAGGTACTTATATAGTATCAATTAAAGTTCATTCGATTCTGTAACCAATGATGTTATGTCTAAAGACCATTCCTAGAATGTTACATTGAAAATATATGGCTTCTTTGAAAATACTAGATGATTAAAAAAAAAAAGAAAATACTAGGTGATTACTAAGATACAGTGTTAAAGGGGAAAAAAACCAGGATACAAAATTATATACATGATAAGAATTTTGCAAAACATATACATATATATTTTGTATGCATGGGGTGGGGAAATGGAAAGAAAGTTCGTCAAATCGTCCACAGAAATTATGGTTGGATGGTTGGATGGTTGGACTGCAAGAGACTTTTATTTTCTTCTTGATATGTGGGGCCAGACCAAGACACTAGAGTGCCCCAGACAAGCTGATATTTAGTGTAGCTTCAAACGGACACTCTTCCCGATTTTTGTTCTCTGAAATTTAGTGGAGAGGGAGAAATTGGTTGCCTATTGATAAATGTGCACAAATACAGATTCAATTCCTGATTTATTCCTACAGACCAAAGCAGAGTTCATGTTCTGGGGGAAAAAAATATTTCCTACTTTTCTGTGGCTCTTATTCTCTCTTTTTGTAAAATTCCAAGCCCCACAATTTATTAGGAAGCATATCAGTTTAAAATGCAGATAGTAAAATAAATTACTCATTTCTAGCCCTTTGCCAGGTATAACTCAGGTTTCTGAATTTCAGCTGACTGCAGCGTGCATAGTACAAAAATACTGCACAGAGTGTGGTGGATGGCAATGAGGAGGGGTTTTGTTTTTGTATTTCTCCCTTTCTTGCATTCTGGCGGTTCCCTAAGGAGACCCATGTGGAGACCTGCATTAACTGGCATCACATTTCCTTTTGGTCAGCACCCTTTTCTCATTCTAGAAAATTTGGAAAATGCATAATGAATTTCCAAACCAGGAAGCAGTCCTCCAAGAATGAATTGGGAAGTGTTCCCTTTTCTTCTGTTTTTTGGGAGAGTTTGTGGAGAATTGGTATTTTTAAGTATTTGGTAGAATTCACCAGTGAAGCCATCTGGTCTTTGGCTTTTCTTTGTGGAAGTTTTGTTTTGTTTTGTTTTTAAGATTTTTTTTTTTTTTTAAGTAATCTCTACACCCAACATGGGGCTCAACTCACAACCCCGAGATCAAGAGTCACATGCTCTGCTGACTGAGCCAGCCAGGTGCTCCTCTTTGTGGAAGTTTTTAAAACTACTAATTCAATCTCTTCACTTGTTATAGGTCTATTCAGATTTTCTATTTCTTCTTGAGTCAGTTTTTGTCATTTGTTTCTAGGAATGTGTTCATTTCATCTAAGTTATCTTGTTGACCTGTTGTTCATATTTATTTATTTGGTGCAAAAAGGTGGTTTTATTAAAACATGGGGACAAGACCTGTGGGCAGAAAGAGCTGCCCTCCTTTTTATTTCTGAAAAGTTGGTACTGGCGTCCCCTCTTTCAGTCCCAACTTTAGTAATTTGATCTTTTCTCTCTCTTTTTTTTTTTTTCTTGGTTATTCTAAAGATTTTTATCAGTTTGGTTGATCTTTTCAATGAATGATGGCTTCATAGGTGTTCATTTTTTAATTAAACCCCATAAGTTACGTGTAATATTTTGTATATATAAAATAGTACACATTGAAAATGGAAAAGAAAAAAAAAGAAAAAAAAGAATCATGGTGCAGTTAATTGAAATTTACTAGGGCCCTTGGTCCTATATTCGAGTTTCACATGGAATTATTTACTTATTCTTATAATTTCCAAGTTTGTGAGGATTCTGCCTTCTAAATGAAACTAACCTCTGCTTGACAATGCAAGGAAGTAGTCGATGCACTATGAGATGGGTAGGTAATAGGTGGTAATAATGTAGGAGTGCTGATAGTATTGGAAACCTGGCCGTTGTCTTAGGGTTGCTGTAACAAAGCATCACACACTGCGTGGCTTCAAACAACAGACATGTACCCTCTCACAGGATAAATCCAGTTGTCAGCAGGGCCGTGCTCTCTGCAAAACGTATAGGGGAGAATCCTTCCTTCTTCCTTGCCTCCTCCAGCTTCTGGTGGCCACCAGCAGTCCTGGGCTTGAACTGCATTGCTCCACTCCCTGCCTCTGTCATCACATGGCTGTCCCCTCCCTGTGTGTCTCTCCCCTCCTCCTATAAGGACACCATTCACAATGGATTAAAGGCCCATCCCACTCCAGTATGATCTCATCTTAACTAATTACATCTGCCATGGCCCTATTTCTAAATAAGGTCACATTCTGAGGTCCTGGGGCTGAGGACATCCACATCTCTTCCTTGGGGGATGTAAGCAACCCTCAACAGACAGGTTTTCAGCTAACTGTAAACATTTGTCTGTTACTGTCCAATTTTTAGAAGTATATCAAAATGTCTTTCCTTCCTTTAAAAAAATGTTATTTATTTATTTTAGAGAGAGAAAGCAGGGGAGGGACAGAGGGGGAGGGAGAGGGACAAGCAGACTCACTCCCTGCTGAGCATGGAGCCCACCACAGCGCTCGATCTCACGACCCTGAGATCACGACCCGAACCAAAACCAAGAGTTGGACACTCCACCGACTGACACTGAGCCACCCAGGTGCCCCGAAAGTGTCTCTCATGCTTACTGTGGTCTTTTTCTTTTTTTAATAACCTCTTCCCTAGATTGAAGATATGTTTAACGAAATCAGATTTAGTGAGTATGTGGACACTGGAAAGCTAATTGACAAAATCAACTTACCGGATTTCTTCAAAGTTTACCTCAATCACAGACCACCTTTCGGTAACACCATGAGCGGCATCCAGCAGAGCTTTGATGTTCTTGGTTTTACCAATTCAAAAGGAAAGAAGGCCATACGAAGAGAAGATTTCCTGAAACTGCTTCTAACGAAAGGTAAATCCATAAATAGGGAGTATCTTGTCACATCATTGGGCTATTGCCACTGGAGCGGAGCTGTTTTGGGGGAGGCAGACCCCCTGGCATCTTTAATCGACGGTGTGTGGGGGGGGTCTGCTTCCCCAGAAACCATGGCTTCAACCGTGAGGGATGCCACCTGCTGATCCGCAGAGCTGGTAAACAGGGGGTGACAGGAAGGGTGCCATCCTGGGTCCCTAAGAATGTGATTTATGTCCCAACTTGCTGAACCCCTGTCAGATTCAGTGTCCTCACTTGTAAAAGGGGGGTGAAAGTGCTAGCCCACAGTCTCACTGGGCTGTTATGACATTGGGATGCAAGGGTGAGGTAAAACCACACCACAGTAAAATTTTCCATTTTTACCTACTGTTTCCCTCATTATTGTATGTGAGGAAGTCAGGGAGGCTTTCTCCCTGGACAACGATCGCTCTTGGTCAAACTGGTGGTTCTAGCGTGAGGGAAGGTGAACTGAAGCCAAGCGCACTTTCTATCAGAAAGTTGTCTTGTTTCTCCGCACGCACCCCGACAGCTTTCCCCTCCTGGGAGCACCATTCTTAACCCCCAGATGGGGAAGGATTTGTGACAGTGACACGGGACCCCGTAGATTGTTTTTGTGTCTCAAGAAAAGGAAATCACGGGATAATTCTCTTTAAGACCTTGGAACGATGACGCTACGCTCTGACATGATGCGTCGTCCCAAGAGCTGAACGGACACTCTTCCCTTTACGATATTCAGGTGAGCACATGACCAAAGAGGAGATGGGCGACTGCTTTGCTACCCTGTTTGGACTGAATCCTGAGGGGTGGAGATCCGAGCCAGCGGCCTCCTCTGTCGCAGGTACTGGGGCTGGCTCTGTGTGGGCGTGCCACCGCGGCTCGCTCATCTGTTGGAGACCTAGGTGCGTTAATTTCCCTTGAGCGCGGTGCAGGCCGCGCTCCTTAATACCGCACACACAGCAAGGCAAATGCGCTGGGGACCCAACATGAATAAGTTATGGAAGGACCAGCGAGCCGTGGTCGTATCTGAGAGATGAAAACGTTTGTTACCATGTGCCGTCCGTCCTTTGTGCCTTCTGCTCTTTCTGTTCCCTTTATTACCCGGACTCGGTCTCCACCTTTGCGGCTGGGCTGCATGACCACTAGGAGAGAACATACAGCTTGGAAGGTGTCTCGGGAGAGGCACTGTCGAGAGACTCGAGTAAGGACAGGGCAGTGAAGAAGCACAAGCCCGGCTTTGAGCTGCTGGTGCTTGAAAGTTCCTAAAGCCGCTCCTCCTCTCCTCTCCTGCCGGAGGATTGCCCACCTCCCTCTTTAGTCCACTGGAGGGAGGAAAATGGGCCTTGTGAATTTAAGTTCTGGAGAAACCAGTCTAAACAGCTCTCCCGAGGGGCGCCTGGGTGGCTCAGTTGGTTAAGCGTCTGCCTTCGGCTTGGGTCATGATCCCAGGGTCCTGGGATTGGGCCCCGCGCGTCGGGCTCCCTGCTCAGCGGAGAGTCTGCTTCTCCCTCGCCCTCTGCCCCTCTCCCTGCTCGTGCTCTCGCTCTCTCTCGGAAATACGTATTTTTTAAAAATAAAAAAAAAAAATAAACAGCTCTCCCGGGCCTGCAGGGGTGTGTCCACTGCCAAGCCCCAGATGCTGCCCGATGCCCCGCAGTGGTGAAAGACTCCCACCATTACTGACCCCTCGCCAGGCTTCATTCTCCCTCTGCTTGCTTGCTTGCTTTCTTTGGTAAAGCAACCCCATGAAGACTTCAGATAGCTGGAGGTGGCTATTTTCCTTTTTTTTTTTTTTTTAAGATTTTATTTATTTATTTGACAGAGAGCACAAGCAGGGAGAGAGGCAGAGAGAGAGAAGCAGACTTCCCACTGAACAGGGAGCCCGATGCGGGGCTCAATCCCAGGCCCCTGGGATCGTGACCTGAGCCGAAGGCAGACGCTTAACCAACTGAGCCCCCCAGGCGCCCCCTCCCTCTGCTTTCATTGTTCATCCCCATTTTACATTAAACAGGGTTTCTGAACTCAGACAGTTCTGGACTCCAGTATCTGGTGGATCATTTCCAGCCTGCAAACTCTCCTACCCCATTCCTTGTGTACTCGGGACCTCAGAATGTAACGCTCCCAGGTGTTACACATAAATCAACCGTACCATGTGGTTAAGGCTTTCCAGTGAAGTTCACAGAGATTTGGTAACAAGCTCCAAACCGTAAAGAAGGGATTTCAGCCAATTTCCACCCAGGGGTTTTTAAGGACTCCCAGCCAAACCGTAGCACAAAGCACCTCTCACTTTTGTTTAGTATCCGTTCCTTGTATTTTTTGGAAAATGCTTCTTAGTTAGAAACCTAATCGTTATGAAGGCGTTTGTTTTCTTTTCTTGTTTGGCTAGGTTCAGAAATCTGCTTTGAAGAAGAACTTCCAGACGAAATCACTGCAGAAATATTCACGACAGACATTCTTGGCCTAACCATTTCACAAGATTTCAGACAAGATCCTATGGTCAGCGAAGTTGTAAGGAATGTTTGAAACACAAAGGACTTTGTGTGTGCGGGTTTTTTTTCTTTTTTCTTTTTTTTCTTTTCCAAGAGGCACTGCTTTCCCTGCATTTCCCTGCATGTCCCTGCCCCCACTCTAATCTTTGGAACATTTAGACATTAAAAGCAAATTTCGGCTAAGCAATGGAATTCACAAAGTTGGACATTCCACTGTTTCTGAAATAAGAAAGTGGGTGGAGGCAAGAAACACACTGGTAGCTGGATGTACATGGTGGCTGGGTATCCTGGCCTGTCCCTCTGCTTAATCTAAGGCAGTGCTACCAGAGCGGGGTTGAAAAGGACCTGGAGGTGGGCTGGTCCTGGGGGCAGAGAGGGCCTCCACCTGCAGCAGGCCTTCCTAGGGACACGTGTGGCCTTATTCCCTGCCCCTCAAGTGCCGCCTGGACCCTTGACCTCATGTGGATCACCCCTGCCTGAGGTTTGACTCAGGGGGAGGGGGGAGCTGGGTGCTCTGGGCTCCTGAGAGTCCCTGCTCGTGGCTTCTCATCAGCAAAACACCTAAGCAGTTGTGTGTGGTCGTTATGAAGAGCATCACTGGCCATGCTTAACCCCGGCGGCAACTGCCGGAGAAAATGCAAAAAGGCACCCCTGGGGCCCTGTGTGCGTTGCACCTGGACCAGAAACCACCTGGCCAGCCCCACAGAGGGCAGAACTCAGCGACTAGAGTCTGTGAGCCTCCCCCTCCGCCCACACCCCCCGAACCAGCGGGGGAGATTGCTGCCTCATATTCCGCTGGGCTTCAAAACACGTAGCAGGCAAAAACAGAACCCAGTTCAGGGGATATTTGGGGAACATTACTGAGTTTTCAGCGGTGTTTTGCCCTTGAGAGTAAAGTACCATCATTGTGTAAACAGGTGAAAGTGCTGGTCTGATTTTAGAGATTTGTTTTTTTGGGGTTTTTTTGTTTTTTAAAGATTTTATTTATTTTTTGACACAGAGAGAGACAGCCAGAGAGGGAACACAAGCAGGGGGCAGTGGGAGAGGGAGAAGCGGACTCCCCACTGAGCAGGGAGCCCCATGCGGGGCTCGATCCCAGAACGCTGGGATCATGACCTGAGCTGAAGGCAGACACAACGACTGAGCCACCCAGGCGCCCCTGATTTTAGAAATTTGTTATCAGTAATGAGTTCTCACTCAGACATATGTGCCAAATGTGATTCTCCACACGTGCTCAGTCCATCACACCCTCCCACCCAAACCAGGTCTTTCCCCAGAGGCCCTGGCATGGGAGATGACGTTTCGGCTCCCCTAAGGGCCCTTCCTCCTCAGGAGCAGGGTCTGTGTGAGAGAAGTAAATGACAGTGGCACCATCCCTCGTGCACAGAGCCCTCCCGCTGCCTGGCGTCCACTTGGAGGCTTGGCTTCAGTGAGTCTTTGGAACACCCTGGAATGTAGAACAGAACTGTCTACCCCAAACCAGGCTGTGTCACGGTGACCGTGGGACAGACGGCGTGGGCCAGGGTTCCATGGCACCTGCTCATCGAGTTGTGTCGCCGGGCTTGGCAACCTGGTTTACATTTTGTAAGAACCAAAACAACCAACGCCCCCCCGCCCCCGCCAAGCTTTATGAATCAATTTTGCAGCTGCTAAGGGCTTAGGAGATATATTACCAAGCCGGTTAAAAAGTTCCTGGGGACATTTTAGGGAACAGGAAACTCTCAGATGACTTGTTCTCTTCAAAAATTTACTCAGAATTGGATTCAGTCTGGACACCAACCAGAGGCTTCTTTCATTAAATTGGGCACATTCTGCTTTTGTTTTTGTTGACTGCATGTATTGGAATAACTGTCTTGAGCAGAACTGGCCAGCGGTCTGACCCGCTGTGCCTGGACCAGTGATCTGGAACCATGGTCACACCACAGCTGAGGGGCTCCCACTGTGCTGAGCCCGCTGCCCTGTCTCCAAGTCCCCTCCGGGAGGGGAGGCCAGAACAGGGGACAGCAGGCTTCCTGTCAATAGCGTTCCAACCACTCCCAGCCCAGCCTGGCCAGGGGGCCCCCTTCTCACCTTTGGGGCCCCCTTCGGCAGGTGCTTTTGTTCGGGAGTCTCTCAACTTGTTTGACCAACGTGGAGAAGACTTGTGCACCTTTCAGCGCCGGGGGGGCCTTTGTCTCCCATCCACAGCAGGCCCCACTTGCTGGCCACATAGATGGTGGAGGCATAGGACATCAGCGCCCCCATCCAGGGGAGGAAGGGGAGGGCAGCCTTCCTGCAGAGTGAGCAGAGCCCCCAGACTCTCCAACAGTGTGCGTGGCCGAGCAGCGACACCAGGAAGGGAGCGAGGAAAGGCCAAAGAAGTATAATCATGGACTTAGGGCCCAAACACTGAACACTGTGATGTTCCTTTGGAAGAACACTGTTTCAGACGGCGCCTCCAGCTACTGACCAACCAAACCATCCTGGTTTGTTGCTTCTAGAGTTCAGGAACCACCAGGAGCCTCCCTGCCCCACCCCACCTCGCCCCCTCTGCTCCAGACCCCAGGGCTCTTCCCCAGCATGGCGAGTAAATTCTTTGCACAGCATCTGCCGTGGAAGCCCATGGGCTTGACTGAGCTTCTCTGCTCCTGCCATTTCAGGACTCCCTGTGTGCCTGTGGGTGTGGCTTGTCTCTGAAACCTGTTTCCTCCTGGAACACCTCCTGGCTGGTTGAGAGGATTAAAGGAGAGGGTGCAAGTAAAGCGTTACCAGCATAAGGCAGAGCTCAAAATAGGACAGCAGCTATTATTACAGGACAAACTGCACAGAGACCTGGGGAGGCGGTTGATGAGCACTAACTGTCTCTAGTTGCAAAGTTTTGGCTTCCTTAGCGCTTGCCCAAATAGGGGTCTCTGCTGGCTTTGAAAAAGGGCCCTCAATAGTATCTGTGGAATGACTGGACAGATGCACTTGGAGCTCTTTAATAGCTGGCTTTGCTTTCAAATAAAGGCAAACGCCAGGTCCTGCCAGGCTCTCTACATCGGGGTCAGCCGACTTTCTCTATAAAGATCCAGAGAGTAAATATCGAGCCTCTGCAGGTCAAATGGGCTCTGTCACAATCCCTGACTTGGCCATTGGAGTACAAAGGCAACCACAGACAATCTAGAAATGAATGATTATCACTGCATTCCAATCATGTTTACTTGCGGACACTGAAATGGGAATTCACGATAATTTCCATATATTGTGAAATCACCTTCTGATTTTTTTTTCAACCATTAAAAAATGTGAAAACCATTCTTAACTTGCAAGCCACATTTGTCCCTCGGGCTGTAGGCCACTCTACCTCCGAGGCCAGGATCACTCATCCCAACAGATTTTTATGAACACAGTGCATCTTTACAACCGACCTGACCGGTGCTCTTCAAACCTGTCAAGGTCGTGACAAGCAAGACAGGACTGAGAGACCATCACAGACTGGAGGAGACTAGGGAGACATGGTGGAGAAAGGCAAAACGGGCTCCCAGAACGGATTTCCAGAACAGGAGGAGGATGTTGGGGAAAGCATGCAATCCAGGTGAGGTCTCTAGTATAGTTACCAGCATCACACCCATGTTCATTTCTTAGTTTTGATCACAATATAGTGGTTAGATAGCGTATACACATCTGGGAAGCTGGGGGAGCGGTCCCTGGGAACTCTCTCTTCTACCTTTGCAACTCTCCTATTAATCTAAAATTATCTTGGGGCACCTGGGTGGCTCAGTCGGTTAAGCGTCCGACCCTTGTTTTGGCTCAGGTCATGATCTCAGGGTCGTGAGATCGAGCCCCGCATCAGGCTCCACGCTCAGCGGGGAGTCTGCTTTAGATTTTCTCTCTCCCTCTCCCCTTCCCCACACTTTCTCTCTCTCTCTAAAATAATAAATAAATAAATAAATCTTTTAAAAAATCTAAAATTATCTCAAAATTAAAACTTAAAAAAAAAAAAGAAATCTGCACCACCTTTCTGACTGAGTCACCCCTGAATTGTTTCCGTGATCTGCCCTGCACCTCTCCATTCTCAAGCAAACACTCCTGAAGCCAGTCAGGGCCGGCTGCTTTGGGGTCACCCCACTTGCTGTCTATCCTCTGCAAACATGAGCCTCTGCTGCACTTCCAGGCAATGCAGACAAGAAGGGTCTTTTTTTTAAAGATCTGTGTCCTTAAGCCACAGCTACCCTCAACACTAGTGTTTTCAGCCTGAACACGTTCTTTAGAGATTTAGCCAACAGTTCCCCTGCAGGCAGCTGCTTCCAAATCGACTGTAATAAATAGATACAGGGCACTGGGAATCAACAGCAAGTTGCCACCCTACTCGTATGTCATAGAACTACCCTCTGCTAGCTTAGCCTAAAGGAAAAAACCAAAATACAAAAAACAACCCAGGGTCTCCTGGTTGGTTCGGTCGGTAGAGCGTGTGACTCTTGATCTCGGGGTTATAAGTTCGACCCCCACACTGGGGGTAGAGATTGCTTAAAAATAAAATCTTAAACAACAACCCAGGTTGATGTGACATTCTTCAATGGCAGTGCAATACGGAGTATGAGGACCGATTGACCCCACAGGACAGCTCATAGGGGGGTCCCCGTGCCCTTCAGCTTGTTATCCTGAGGGGCTGGTGCGGCAGGCCTCCTGCCTTTCTAGGTCACAATGCGTACTTACCAGTGCCCAGGTGAGAGGCACCAGGCCCGGAAGGATCACCGGCCACTGCCGGTCCTGCTGCTGTTCTTGGTGGTTTGCAATGACCAGTGGTGCGCCGGGGCAGTTCAACACCAGAGGCATCGCCACGGAATGTGGTTGTCCCAAGTCCTTCACGTTTTCTTGTTTTGTTGATTGGAAGTCACAAACCATATCAGTGTAAACATGGTATTTATTTTTGTATATCTTGCTCTTTAAAGCAAGCAGGGGTGCTTTCTTTGGGAGGGAAACAAGTTCAGTACACCCTCCTCGCCAGCACTTCAGACAACACGGAAGCGCGTGCTGCAAGGGGCCAGTCCCCCGGCCCGCCGCCGGCCAGCACGCCTGCCCTGGAGCAGGGAGCCGTGAGCGGTGCCGCGGCCCTGGGGTCTGAGGCACCGAGGGCACATCAAGTGCAGGCTCCAGCACGAAGGAGTTAGGGGGCCGTGGCAAACTCAGAGCACACCGTCCTATCGAAGGGGCTGACTGCTGCCCGGCTTCTCCTCTCCGAGTGTCTGAGCTCTTCAGAGATGGGCTTCGCCCATCCCTTTGTCCATTCACGAGTTCAGCCAACAGTTCCTGTGCGCTAGCACTGGGTATGCAGTGCTGAGCCAGACAGGCGTGGCCATTGTCTTTAGGGAGCTCATGTGAAACAAACACATAAAGTGTCATTACAGATTGCGCTCGGAGTCCTAAAGAAAAAGCCCAGACCCTGTGACATGGAATATCAAGAGGGGAATGTGCTTTACTTAAGATGGTTGGGAAGGGTCTCTCCGAAGACAAGACATAGATGTTGAGAACCAGTCATGGAAAGAGATAGGGGAGAACATTCCGGACAGAGAGGACAGTGTGTACCAAAGCCAGAAGCATTCAGTGACCACAGAGGGGGATGTAGGCTCAACACGACGTCCTCAAGGGTCTAGAAGTTTCCCCTATATGATTCTTCCTCGTGAGTCTGGGTAGGAATGTTTTCACGTGAACTGTGAGCAGGAGGAATGGAGGCTAGCCGGGTCTCCCAAATGGGAGATCTGGCCACTCTCGTTTCTTTATATCCAGAGTCTTGGTGTGAGATGGAGGATCCCAGGAAAGACTATCAGTAAGTCATGTGCGGAGCCAGCCCTGAAGCTGACATGTTCTTTTATATGACACAAGCCAAAGGTGGAAATGCTCACAGCTGGCTCCAGCTTCATAAACCTTACATCCTGAGTTGGCGTCGCTTCATCTTCCATAGTTTTCCAGGGATTTCAATATCTTAAAAAAATGGAACCACAGTTTTCTCCACGATCTTGTTCCTTCATACACAATCTACCTTCCCCCTAGTCGCTGGTGATTGCCAGAAGGCAGCCAGCTATGCGGGAAAGCGTCAGCAAATGCATGCCACTCACCCCTTCCTCAGTGTCTGGTTGGCCACCTCTACCTTTTCGACTTCTTTACAATAAATGAGGGAATGGCCATAACTGGTCGCCTACAGATCCTCTTACTAAGTGACCTCAGTGTCAACACAGCGTGGTAAGCCCTAGATACAATGTGGCGCAGAGCCTGGTTCTTGCCCTTAAGAAGGTTACATTGTAATGAGGGAAACACATGTCCATGATAATTACAGTACCTCATGATATGATATAGGGGCATCTAGAGCAGATAGGGTGGGAAGGAGGAGGAGATCAGGGCAGGTAGAGAGGAAATTACATCAATGAGGCACTCGAAGCCAATCTGAGGGGTCCCTAGGGGTGGTGGCCGGAGAGCAACCCAGAGAAAGCAGTGCTTACATTATGGATGGCCTTGTGCCCTAAATCAAGGAGGTTAAACTTGAAGATTAAAGTAACGGAGGAGGGGCGCCTGGGTGGCCAGATGGTTAAGCGTCTGCCTTCGGCTCAGGTCATGATCCCAGGGTCCTGGGATCAAGTCCCGCATCGGGCTCCCTGCTCAGCGGGGAGTCTGCTTCTCCCTCTCCCTCTGCAGCTCCCCCTGCTTGTGTTCCCTCTCTCTCTCTCTCTCTCTCTCTGTCAAATAAATAAATAAAATCTTTAAAAACTAAAGATAAAAAAATAAAGTAACGGCGGAGAAGTGGATTACATTTGCATCTCAGAAGCATAGGACTGGGTGGGTGATGGGCAGGAGGGGATGGCTGCTAAGAGGGACAACGGCAAGGAGACTATTACAGTAGTTTGGGGAGAAGTGCAGGATGGCAACAAGACGCAATTCAGGAAGTACAAATAAGTGTCAAGGCTAAGGGGTAGCTTAAATATAGTATCAATCATGATCTTTGATGTGCAGCAAAAGAAAGTGGCTCTGGTTAGCTCCAGTGGAAAGGGACTTTACTTGAAGACCATCCGGTAACTCACAGAAGCAATGCAAAGACTGGAGAAACAAGTTCTGAAAATGAGAGGGAACCCAAGAAGGCCAGACGTTACGGCCCTGCCGCGCCATGAGCTCAGTGCCTCCAACACCCTTGGGCTCTCCGGTGGCCACTTGTGCTGTAAGTCATTTTCCCCACTGCTCCTCAACTGCCTCACAAATCAAAGTCAAAATCAAAAGCCCAGTGAGATGCCACTTCACACCCAGTAGGATAGCTAAAATAAAAAAGACAGAAAAGAACAAGTGTTGGTGAGGATGTGGAGAAGTTGGAAGCCGCGTGCACGGCTGATGGCAACATACAATGGTACAGCTGCTGTGGAAAACAGTCTGGCAGTTCCTCAAAATGTTAGAGTTACCATATGGCCCAGAAATTCTACTCCTCCATCTATATAGGCAAGAGAAACGGAAAAACACATCTGTACAAAAACCTGTATGGTAATGTTCATAGTAACTTTATTCAGAAGAGCCAAACAGGGGAATCATCAACCAATGACTGAATAACCAAAATGTGATAAATCCACGCAACAGAGTATTGTCCAGCCATAAAAAGAAATGAAGTATTAATACCTGCTACAACATCGATGAACCTTGAAAATATGCTAAGAAGCCAGACACAAAAGGACACAGATTGTATGATTCCGTTTCTGTAAAATGTCCAGAAGAGGCAAATCCATAGAGACAGGAAGTAGATTTGTGGTTGCCTGGGGCTGGGGGGGTTGGGAGGGGAGAGGAGTGACTGCTAATGGGTAGAGGGTTTCTTTTTCAGATGACAAAAATGTTCTAAAAATAATTGTGGCAATGGTTTCACAACTCTGTAAACATACTAAAAACCACTTTAAAAGGGTGAATTTTATGGTAAGCTAATTATATTTCAATAAAGCTATTATTTTAAAAAACCGACTGGCTAAACCATCGCCAGCTGGCTAAGGTTGGGACCCATGCCCAGGACCTAACGCCCTGGCAGAAGAGGGAGAAAGACCCCACTGTAGCTTTTGTAGTGGGGGGTGGCTTTCACCCCCAAGGGCTCACCCAGAACGGGGAAGGATATTCAGATGCTGGGCAGCATGCAGGAAGGAGGCAGAAGGCATTTGGGCAGCCTTCTAGATTCCTAACTGGAGAACTCACCAAGCCTGTTTGTGGACAGGTCTCTAACTTTGCTCCAAAGTCACTGGGTCCTGAGCAGATACCCTGTGTTTAATCATTCATTGTTAGAAGAGCGTCTGGATTACACTGACTCATCTTTGAATGCCTCAGTATTTCAGAGCACTACATGGCCACTATCTCTTTATTTTCATATAACCTCAAGTGGCCCAATTTCTGGGCAAGCCAATGGTTGCATGGATGGATATGCAAATTGCCAATTTACTGGTATTTGAGCTGGTGACCATTTTTATGGTTGTAGTTTTAGGCGAGAAAGATATGGACAGGCAGATTGCAATATCTGATTTGTCAAAAAACCCTCTTTTTTCAAGACCTCCCCAGTCTATTATAAGGCCCACACTTCAGGGGACCCCATTAAGCTCCACCAGTGGTATGCTTGTAAATGTTTACCAACCAGCTCTGGGTGGAGGAAGGCCAGGAGGCTCCTGATGAATAGCACTTGCCAATTTCCAGAGTGTCAACATTCCCACCATGCTGATTTCCAACCTCATGATGGACGTGGAGCGGGGAATCCTGGAGACCACAAGAGGAGAGCAGGGTTCTGGCCAGAAGTCTGCTAACTGGCTGCATGACTCCTGAGTTTTATTGTCCTTTTTCGCAACAGGAGGGGGGTTTCAAACCCTGCAGCACACCCTTTGGCTCCTGTCTCCACGGGAGGGGACTACATTTCATTCTGTGTTTGGAGGGTTCTCTTCAGTACTCTCCCTCTGCTAATGGCCTGCTCCCCAAACACCAAAGCACCACTGTTTATGAAAACAACTTGCCGCTGCAAGTTGCTAGGTGAGGACCAAGGCTGCCTAGAAGCAGATGGCCTGAGCTTCCTCACAATTATGTGTTACACTCCAGAGGTGGAAACCTCCTCACCAGCCCTCTTCCCGTGTCACAGTGGATTAAGGGTTGAATTTAGCAGCCCAGGAAAGAGAGGTAGTTGACCTTGTGTGGGTCATAATGAAGCAAGGGACCACCAGGTCCTTTATTCAACAAATACTTTCTGGTCTTTAGCACTATGTGCCAAGCACTGTTCTCAGTCCTTGACAAATACTGTGTTAAATTCTCATGCTAGCTCCCTGAGGCAGGTGTTCTTTCCATCCCATTTTACAGATGAGGCCCAGAGAGGTTAAGCCACAAGCCATAACTAAATAACTAACTTCTGTAACCCTTTTTAACATATCTAGAATAATAACATTCAGAGAGAGCCCAACTTCCCAGTTTCTGGTAACCAGGGATCCAGAGGAACTCTCAAGCTAAAAGCAACTAAAAATGGTAGAAAAAGTATCAAAACATTCTAAAAGCCACCACATGCTGACAAAATAAGAAGGAATAGCTGAAATTGAAGGAAAAAGAGAACCCTGAAAGACAATCCAGCAAAGAAGCCATCCTAACCCGGCAGATTATCTGTCAAATCTCGAATATTTGAACTCTAGTGTGAATGGTTTTTTGAGGCAAGAGGCCAGAAATAAAAGTCCAGGTGGGAGATGAGACTTGCCCCCACAACAATTTGAGACCCTGTTGGTATGCTGGTAAATGTTTGCCAACCAGCTCTGGGTGAGGTTGGGGAGAGGGTCCTGAGGTATAGCATTTGTCAATTTCCGTAGTGTAAATACTCCTGCTACAGTTGATTTCAAACATCAACATGGGGTCACTATACACAGAGTTGGGAAGTGCACGCCTGTCAGCCAGTTGCTCACATCATTGATACCCCACCCCACCCCACCCCACCGCCAGAGGGTACGATAAGCAAACCAGTCTAGCTCAATAGGGCGGCCTGTATTTGTATCACTTGGGTGGTCCAGGGATCCGCAAGCCCCGAACTTGGATATAGATAGTCCTGGAATAGCAGTGCCCTCAGGAGCCTGGCAGAAGCAAACGTAAATCATCTCTGGAGGAAGGTAACTTCATCCTGGGCCTCAAATTATCCCTATAAATAAATTTTCTCTTCAGCCTGGCTGAAGACAACCAGGCAGATCACAAGGAAATAGGACACCATGAGCAAGAACTAGGAGAAACAGACCCTCAGATACTTCAAATATTAGAATTATCAGACACAGAATGTAAAACAACCATGCTTTGTTGAGAGAAAGGTTAAAAATATCTGCAGGGGACAGGGAACTATGAAAAGTGACACGCTAGATTTATAAAGGACATTTGTAGAAAGCTTTATAGTTTAATCAGAGATCAAGAACACAAATACCTTCAGGGGCCATCTGGTAATACGAATGAGTTAAGTGACCTGGTGATACTGGAAAGCTTTGTCTGAGGAGCTCCAGCTGATTGTTACCATGCAGCACCAGGGTACCAGTCTGCAGATCTTCTGCTCTTTCTGGAGAAGCTGGATATTTGGATTTCTTCTTATTGTGGTAAAATACACATAAAACTGACCACTGTAACCATTTTAAGGTGTACAATTCAGTGGCATTACGTACATTCATGATACGTATGATAATCACCATTATCTAGTTCCGGAATTTTCTCACCACCCCAAAAAGAAACCCCACCCCCTTGGAAGTCACTCTCTATTCCCCACCCCCACCCACTGGCAACCACCAATCTGCTTTGTCTCTATGGATTTGCCCAGTCTAGATATCTCATGTAGGTGGAATCATACAATATTTGTCCTTTTGTGACTGGCCTATTTTACCTATCATGTTTTCCAAGTTCATCTATGTTGTGGTTATGTGTCAGTACCTCATTCCTTCTTAATACCCAAATAACATTCTATTGTGTGGAAATACACATTTATCCATTCATCAGTTGATATTTGAATTTTGGTATCTTCCTATTTTATTTTTTATTTTTTTTTAAAGATTTTATTTATTTATTTGAGAGAGAGAATGTGATAGAGAGAGAGAGAGCACGAGAGGGGAGAGGGTCAGAGGGAGAAGCAGACTCCCCACCGAGCAGGGAGCCCGATGCAGGACTCGATCCCGGGACTCCAGGATCATGACCTGAGCAGAAGGCAGTCACTTAGCCAACTGAGCCACCCAGGCGCCCCCTATTTTATTTTTTTAAAGTTTTATTTATTTAAGTAATCTCTAGACCCAATAGGGGACTCGAACTCACTACCTGGAGATCAAGAGTTGCATGCTCCTCCTACGGAGCCAACCAGGTGCCCCAAATATCTTCCTATTTTTTCAGACATATGTATTCAGAAGCTCTTTGTGGCCCTAAGCCATCAGAGGGCCAACAGTAGAGACCGCTGTTTTATAACCTGCTGTGACATATTTTCTTATATAATGCTCAGAATGACTCGCTGAGGTACTATCTTATTTTTTGTATTAGGCATCCCATTTCCCCAGTAGCTCTTCTCCCCAAATCCAAAATCTCAGGGGAAACTGCTTGGTTCCAGAATGAATGGGAGTCTGGGGTCTAGCTTACGGGTGTGACCTTGAGCTTCCCTGGAACTCAGTTTCCCCACGGATAAAATGGTGTTGGACTGGTTTATCTCCAAGACACTGGGTTTGCTAACAGGGTCACCCTCACTTGCTCTAGCCCCCGTCTGGGTATGAATTAGCCTTGGTCAAGTCGGTTTATCGGCAGCTGAACACAAACATGTGGCCACCTGGGTTATCCTGATAATTGCAGATTCTTCCACAGAGCTGTCCTGAGGCACGATGGAGAAGAAACACCTCAAAAGTCCTCCTTGTAGGCCGGCCAGCCCATTTCACCTGCTAGGGCCATCTGCGCTGTAGCAGCACCCGGTCTGAGCCTGGGACTTCGGTCAGGAGTGGCTTCGATTTAAATCGTGCTTCTCTGACAGCAACCCCAGAGGGAAAGGAAGAGCCCCAGATGAAAGGCTGATAATCGTAGAGCTGTTCCTTCGCGGAAAGCTATTTCACAGGCAAGGTCGAATGTCTCGTGGTCGCCTCGCCCCTGGCACCCTTCCTCCGATTCTAGTTTTCCAAAAGGACGAGGGAAAGGGAAGCGACGTCCTAGCTCACGTGTTTGCACAGGGCAGAGGGCCAGCAGAGATCCGTGCTTCCCAACTCTTTCCAAGAGCACCTCGCATCCCGAATCGCCGCCTTCAACTCTGAGAAGTCGGGAGCCCCACAGGAAACTTGCATTATTGCACCCGCTGTCACACACCCGGGGCAGCGGACCAGCCGCATAGCTGGCTCCCCAGGAATGCGCCCCCTCCACGGCCGCCCGCCCCGCCCCGCCGGCGCGCCCTCCCTGGGGGACCCCGCGGCACCTGCGGCCTCCGAGTGAGTGTCCTCGCGCCCCGCCGCCCACCCCCCCCCCCCCGCGCGCCGGGAGTCGGGGGTCACCGGACGCCCCCGGACGCCTCCCGGGGGAGCGGGGAGTCGCGGGGGGTCGCGGGCGCCTCGCTGGGCGGGCGGGGGCGGCTCGCGGCGCTGGCCGGCGACGGCGGCGGCGGCGGCGGCGCCGGCGCCCGGAGGCCGCACTACTGGCGGCCGCGGCGGCGCTGCTCCCCCTGCTCGGTGCAGCTGGCGCCCGGCGCTTGCGCACTGGGCCCCGAGCGCGCGGCGGCTCCGGCTTTGTGTGTATGTGTGTGAGTGTGTGTGTGTGTGTGTGTGTGAGAGAGTGTGTGTGTGTGAGTGTGTGTGAGTGAGTGAGCGGGCGGGCGGGCGCGAGTGTGGCCGCCGCGGAGCGCGAGCAGGACCCGGCGGGCGCGCTCCCCCAGCCTCTCTCTCCCCGCCAGAACCATGTCGGGCAGGTCGGTTCGAGCCGAGACCAGGAGCCGCGCCAAAGATGATATCAAGAGGGTCATGGCGGCTATCGAGAAAGTGCGCAAATGGTAAGCGGAGGCGCCTGCTCGCTCGCCCGCCCGCCCGCCCGGCGCCGCGGCCGCCCCAGAGCCCCGGAGCACATACAAAAAGCCGGCGGGTTGCCGCGCCGCGGGCCGGCCGCGGGCCCGGGAGTTGGAGCGGCGGGCGGCGCGCGAGCCGGGTCACCTGCGCGAGGAGGGGGCCGCGGCCGCTGCCCAGGTGCGCTCGCGCCTGTCGCCCACCTGGCGCGGTGGCGGCAGCCTGGAGGCGGCGGGGCGCCTCGGGGCCGGGCGGTGGAGCGGCGGGCCGGCCCCGCCGCGGCGCTCGGCTCCCGGGAGGGGGGCTCGGGGCCGGCCCCAGAAGCCATTTCGTTTTGTGCAAGTCACATGAAAGCGGCTTCCCGCGCGCCGGGGCCGCGATGCCGGCGGCGGAGGGGAGAGCGCGAGCTCCATTGTGCAGGCACCGAGCGGGCCGCCGCCGTCTCCGTCTCGTCCCCGCGCGCCCCGGGCGGCGCAGCGCCGGCCCCCCGCGCCCCTGCCCGCGCCGGGCCTCCCTCCCGCCTCCCTCCCCGGCTGGCTGGCTCGCTCGCTCCCCGCCTCCCAGGCCCGGCGCCCTCGAGTCTGCGGAGTTTGCAGAGCGCGAGCCGTTTAAATTTAGCGCTTTGGGCTGCCTGGAGCGAGGGTTCTCGGCGAGGAAGAAAGATGGGGGCGAGCGCGAGGAGGAAGCGCCGGGGCGGCCGCGGGCCCGGGGCGCCCGGCACCCCCGCCCAGCCCGCCCTGGCCGGCAGGCGGCCGCGCGCGGGGGTCGGCGGGCGAATCTTTTTGGCCAGAAACCGGTCCTCGGCCGAGTCTGCCTTTCCCAAAGCAGCGGCTCGTGTTTGTTTTGCCGAGAGAGCCGTTGTTTTTGTTCTCTGCGCGGGGGAGAGGAGATTCGGTGCGGGCCGTGCGTGTTCTTCGAGCTCACGTTGGAGTCTGTCCGGCGTGGCCTTGTTGTAATTAATAAGACTGAACGCGTTCGCCGCCTCATCGGGGTCTGGCTCCGAATCGGCCCGCGGGCCAGGCCCCAGGCGCAAGCACCTCCCCAGGTTGGGGCAGACTTGTTGAAAACTCCCGGCTCCTTGATTTCAACTTTATTATTTTTTTCCCACGGCTTCACCAGGGTCAGGGAGGGAGAGGAGCAGCCGCGACGATCTCGAGTGTCAGCCCCCGCGGGCTCGTCCTGACCCTTTTTATTTAAAGACTAAAAACTGGGCAGGCCCCTGGTGGGGTATGTTTATGTTTAGGGGTATCATTTCTTGAGTAACGCCTTGGTCTCTAAAACCCACTGGGGGTGAGCCTCCAGCCTAGCCGTGTCACAAGTTAGCTGTCCTTTCTGAGTCAAACCCAACAAAAAAAGGCAAGAGGAAAATCAATAAAGTCCACGTGCTCCCGGGCCTCCTATGGAAAGGGCTGTCTGCGGATGGCCGGATGCCCGGCCAAGGGCTGGGTTTGGCTCCAGTGGGACAAAGAATTTTCAGAACCGTGAGAAGGGGAGGCCTTCCAAAGTTGAGAGCCGAGTTTTCGGTGCTGTGGGAGCTCCCCGGGGCACGCAGGGTGCCCAGTGCCCAACTGGAGCCATTTAAAAATGGCAGAAACAGCTGCAGGCCAAAACAGACACAGGAAAACAAGCCCACAATCCCCTCTCCTGTGGGGTTCCCAGAGGGAAGGCTGGGGTTGTCCCCTGCCTTAGTGCCGGGGCAAAGAAAGAACCAGTGTCTGGGCCTGAGTCCCTTCTGTCAAGGCCTGGAGGTGAGAAAGGGGCTGGGGGCAAGCTGCCTTTCTCTGTTCCAAGAGGCGTGGTGGGGCCTTCTGCTCCAGGTTCCCAGCAGGACAGAGGCTCGGTACCCTGACAGATGCTTCTGTGGGGCCAGTCTGCCAGTGCTCTGCAGGGAGGGCAGATGGACCTATGGGGCTTTCTGCCCTGGGGGTGGCAGAACAGGCAGCCTGGGGCCCCCCCCTCTGGCCTGGCCTGTGTTTGGGGGAAGGGGAGAAGAACCGGTTTCCCTCCCTCCCTGTGTTTCGGGAAGCAGGTCATGATAAAGACCTCAGGCTTTAGGATCTCCTGGCTGGGCTTCCAGGTCACTTCCTTGCTGTGACCTTGGGCAAACTGCGGAACTTCTTTAACCATGGCAGCCACGGGTCTGGTGCTGCTTTCTCCCTCCTAGAACAGGATCATGTCTCCAAAAGCACCTATTCCTGCAAACAGAAGCAGTCACTCACGGTGTCCTTATTTAAGGTGGATGCCATAAAGTATGTGTTTTGCTGATTTTCTTTTCTTTTTCTGCCCCTTTTAAGCAAAAAAAGACTTCGCCTTATTTTCAGGGTTTCCCCAGCCCCGAGAAGCCAAATCTCACCTTCACTGTACTTTTAGAATAGGCCTTCCAGTCAGTCCTTGAGGCTTTGGGTTGTTTATTAACTGCGTGGCCACCAACCATGCCTTTCACTAGTGGCTGGGACATCGGGTTGCCAGATTTAGCAAATAAAATTACAGGACACCCAGTTAAATTTGAATTTCAGATAAACAATGAAATAACTTTTTAAAAATAAGCGATATATGTGTATAAATTTTAGTGTAAGTATGTCCCATGCAGTACTTGGGACATACTTACACTAAACTGTTACGTATCTGAAATTCAAATTTAATTCATCATCTCATATTTTATCCAGAGAACAGAGGTGTCTGGCATACCATTTATCCTGTGAGTCTAGGCTGGTATTTCTTCTCAGCCCTGGAGACCCCTAAAAATCCCCCCTCTGCCAACCCTTCCCTTCCCTCGTCCCCAGAAAGAGCCAGCAGTCAGCCGTGACCACCCCATCCCTAGCCGCCAGCCGTTTTCCCTCCCTCGTCTGGTGTCCCAGCAAGGCAGGCTGGTAGGCTGTGGGGGAGCCACAAGATGGCTGGAAGAAAAACAAAATGGTGGGCCCCTTTTGGGGAAAGTGGGCCGGGGTTAGGGGTGCAGTGTGGGTGGAGAAGAGCAAGAGAGGAGGGTCACCGGGTGGGAGACAAAGGCTTGAGCCACAAAGTAGGCTTAGGCCCGGAACCCCTGAGCCCTTGGTCTGAAGGGTCCCTCAGTGAATTTTGAAGGAGAGAGGCCTGTTCCCTGGAGACTTCCTACCCGTGCCACCCACCCGTCTTTAGGGCCACACTTCTTTACCTTTGGGGAATACCCTCTTGCCAGGTGCAGGGCAGGTCAGGTGAGCCTGGGCCTAGTTAGTATGATACCAGTCCTAGACAAGGCCTCCTCAGGTGTCAAGGACTAGCCCTGGGAAGTGATACAAAGTGAGGGATTTGCAGTCTCTTTGAGGGAGTGAGCAGGGCCCCCCTTGGGCAGTGACCCCAAGATGGTCTCCTTGGCTAGCCCTTGGACCTGGACCCAGGAAAACATTAAAAATTGACCATAGCGTAGAAAATCTGTGACGGGCGCTTGCAGTTTGTATGGGAGCCTTTGCTGGGGGCGGGGGAGTGTCTGGGGCTTTATTGCTACAGCTGGGACCCCATTTGCCGTTTTGTCCAGGAGCCCAAGTCTGGAGGGGCAAAGCCTTGAGTACTTGAGCCTGGCTGGTTACCGGGGGGCCCACAGGCCCACTTTGTGGCAAGGTGGGGGTGTGCCCGCTGGCTGTGGTGAATCTGGGCCCGGTGCCTCCAGTGGGGTGGGGGGTGAGTGCTGGGGGCTCTGAGAGAGCCCTGACTCCTCACGCACATGGGCCCCTTGTGGCCACGTCACCGCCTTTGTGAGAGTCATCAGGAATCTGGATTCTTATGTGGAGTCTCACTTTTTTCTTTGTAAAGTTTGGCAATTGATTCAAATTTTAAAAAACTAATATGCAGGCCAGACAGAACATACCTGTTGGCCACTTGTTTGCCACCCCAGCTATAAAGTAGTAAGTACAGCTTAATTCCCTCTTTGAGGGCCGGCGTTACGTGTTCTGGGATGATGGTTTGGGGAACCAGTAGGAGCTCCATCGTTTCCCTGAGCCCACGTGTTGTCTTCCAAGGAGCTGCCGGCTTGAGGGGACACCCAGAGCCCACTGGTCATGTCTGTGAAATCGCTTCCTGTCCTCCCTGGTGCTTGCTCTGCCTCATTACCGGCGTTCCAGGGCCTCGTCTCCCTGCGGGGCTGCTGGGCGGAGGGCAGTCCTGAGGTCCGTCCTGAGGTCCATTCCCGAGGTTGGGTTCTTAATGCTTTGCCCTATGTCCTAGAGCCCCTCAGTGTCCAGTAGAAATGCAACCGAAGAAAGGTTTCTAATCTTTGGGGTGAGTTGGGGGGTACTCAGGCCAAGGGGTCACCAACTGGGGCAAAGGGGGGCGCGAGAACCCGGCTGCAGTCCGCCTGTAGGTTGCAGGGCCCTCAACCACTGTGGGAGGCGCGTGCAACTTGAGGGTTCATCTTGGCCGGCAGGCAGGCTGCAAAGCCCAGACCTAGCACGCTTTCTGCCTTGAGGCACGTCCTGTGTTTTGCACGTCAGTTACTTTTGTTTTTGTTTTTGTTTTTAACACAACCAAACCTTGGATTTGCTGACCTACTGCGGCCCTGGCCGAGGAAGCCGGTTGAGGGACTGTGAGTAGTGAGCGCCTTCGGCTGTTTGCGTGGGATGCTAGCAGTTTGTGTTTTTGTGTCCAGCTTCCGTAACCGATGTGCGCTGTGGAATGAGTTCTTAGTTTTTCACAGGAGACAGAATAGCAGAGAGTGGGCTCTAGTCGGAGCCTGTGTCCAGTCCTCGCTCTGCCTTGGGCTAGCTGTGCGACCATGAACTAGTTATATAACCTCTCTGGACCTCTTGTTTCCCACCCATAAAATGGAATGACAGTGATTCCCCTCTCATAGGCTTATTGGGCAGTCTTTGGGGGAGAGGGATTGATTGTAAATAAAGCACTTGGCGGATATGAGCCTTCGCACACAATGACTATTACGATTGTTGCTTTGTCACCAAGGTTGTTCCTTGGAATGCCCCGTCCCTTCCAGATACCTTCTGATTATTCAGAATAGAGGTGGGGAAGGACACGGATTATGGGTTGTCCATTCTGCCGCCAAGATGTAGGAGATGGGTGGGTGGTGACTTAGATATGTGCCTTCATTTTATTCTTTCTGGGCTAAAAGGGGGCAGGGATGGGGGTGGGAGAAGCTGCTCCTAAAGCAGTGCGGCGTGGAGGCTTTGAATACTGGTCCCGGGGAGACAGACTTCACCTTCTCATGCCTCAGTTTCTTTATCTGTCAAATGGGGAGGGTGACCGTTCCTGCCACACAAGGTTATGGGAAGATTAGAGCAAATGTGTATGGGAGCTTAGCACATTGAAGACACTAGAAATAGTCCTAAAATAAGTAAAAGCCAGACTGTGGCTTCCTCCAGCAGGGAATCTGTAGGACCTGAACAGGCACAGTTTGGGGAATGGAGATTTCTGTGGTTTGGGTTAGCTGGTTTTGAGTGTGCTCAGGTGCCCCGAACCCTCTGTGGCAATTGAGTGCCAGGTGGCTGTAATGTGTCCCACCAGCCCCTGAAGGCCACCCACCCATGGAGGGAAGGCTGGTCAGGTACCTGGTAGCTCACAAACAGAGGTGCTCTTGCCACACATAAACTTTGGTTCTGGTGGAACCCTTGTCACTAAACTTGTTGGGGGCTTCTGGCAGCTCTGTCACCTGTCCTAGGTGTGTATCTGGCCCCGTCATCCCACGGTGGGTTCCTTGAATTAAGCAGCCGAGAGAGATCCTTTGTGACCTCCCACTTCTCCTGAGATGGCAGAGCCTGGTGCCAGGAATGGGGACCCTAGAGTCCAAACTGCTTGGTTTGGAGTCCCGGCTTTCTTTCCGGGTGATTCCTCCGAGCCTCGATATTGTCAGGTGCACAGCCTCTGGCTCTCATTCCCAGTGTTAGCGGCAAGAAGTGACTTGACCTGACCTGTAGACTGCAGGGGTCAGGGACCAAAGTTTGGAGGCTGTGGCAGGAATCTAGGGAATGATGGTGGCTTGGAATACAGTGGTGTGGAGGAGAGGGTGTTAATTATTATCCTTAATGAAAACCGGTCACCCTGTTTCCTTCTCCTGGCTTGTGATTTTTCTCCTTACCCATAAACCTGCTTCTAGCAGCGGGGGTCCCTGGATGCGGTCCCCCAGGAGCTTAGGCTGTGGTGGGGGCGGGGGCGGGGACAGTGTGCAGATGTGGGTATTAGGAGGGAAGACCCAGAAACACATGCCTGTCTTGGAGCCGGGATGTGGGGTCTCAGGGCATCCGTCTGGCTGGCTGCTGTCCAGGCTGTGCTTCCCTGTTGAGGCCTGGGGACCACCCTTGGGGCCAAGGCCACTGGGCATCCAGGTTTGTTCTTGCTCCCCCGCCCCTGTCCCCCTTGCCCCCCGCCCCCGACTGCTCCAAATGGTGTTTGCCCCAAAGAGCACTGGGTGGTTATCACGCTGTCTTCTCCTGCCTTCCTTCCTCTGACCTCAGAGGCACTGCGGGGAGGACAGGGTGAGTCCCTGGGTGCCCTTGGTGAAGCCCCCTCAACCCCTGAGGAGGAAATGCCCTGCTGGCCTAAAGCCCTCCCTGCTGCCCAAGGGGTTGGGGTGGCCCAGTTCGCTGGCTCTGTGGAGTTGGCAGCGGTATGAGGCACAAAAGCTGGAGGACCCTGGGGCACAGTTCTCTTCATCCAGAGCAATCCTCTTTAATGGCAGCCCTTCTGTCCGCCCAGTTGCACCAGGCACATCCTTCAGGGCATGGGGAGGCTTTTCACACATGCTGTCTCATGTAATCCTCATGACAGCCCAGAGACTGATGACCCTGTGTGGTCTAACAGATGGGGAAACAGAGGTGTAGATTGGTGAATGACTTGCCCAGCAGCCCCCAGCTACTAGATCTGGGGTGATCTGGAGCTCCTTCCCTTGACCCCAAGCTGAGCAGCCCCTGTGTCGCAGCTACTCCAAGGCCCGTGTCCACCACGAGGGGTGCGCAGGTTCTGCCCCAGAAACCCCCTGGTAACGAGCTCTTCCTCATCTTCTGCAGGGAGAAGAAGTGGGTGACTGTGGGTGACACATCCCTGCGAATCTATAAGTGGGTCCCTGTGACAGAGCCAAAGGTGGACGATGTGAGTATGTGGGCCAAACCCCTGGGGTAGGGCCATCCATCCGTGCTCCCCGCACCGCAGGTAGAAGGTGCTGTCCACCACTGCCCACCAGTGTGCGACCCTGGGGCCAAGGCCACCTGGGAAGCGGAAGGACCCAGCTTATGGCTGGAGAGGCTGCTGCACCTGGGTCCTCCTCCCCACTCATAGTCCAGCCCCAGAGTTTGGCCCTCTGGGAGCTGGGAAGTGTCCCCTGCAAGTCATCTCTTCTGAGCTGAGAGCCCTGTAGTTTGCCAGTGGGGACATGCCTTAGTGCAGAGCTGTCCCCTCCCTGGGGCCCTGGGCACCACGGTTTGGGTGTAGCGTACGCCCAGACAAGCAGACCCTCCCCCATTGCTGTCACTGCTCCGGAGCCCCCAACCATCTGCCAGGTCTGTCGAGTTGACCCTTTATCCCCTTTGTACAAGTGAGGACACAGGCTCAGAGAGGTGAAGCCACTTCCCCGGAATCACACAGCAAGTGCCGGGTCTGTTTGACTCCAGAACACATGCTCTCTTTGCTGTTGGAGAGCCTTCTGGTGGTTGGAGCTGCAGGCCACCCCAGAGCGACCCCAGAGCGAGAGGGCTTGGTGCATGGGAACACAGCCACGGCTGGGGCCCTGGGGGTGGGGGGCAGAGGGTGCTCCAGCCACTAGAAGGAGCGTCAGCAGCCGCGCCTGGCGTGGGGGAGGGGCTGCGGAAGCTGCTGCCCACATCGTGGGTAGTTTTTCAGCTTCGTGGCTCCTGGGCCAGTTTACCCCCAAAGACCCCAGGTCAGCTACTCTTATTTCCAGTCAGCATCCAGAATGCTCCCACCTACAGACCTTGGCATGGACTGTCCTGCCCGGGGTGCCTTCCCTATTCATGCGAACAATCCTCCCCCCGAGGAAGATGGCTCACGCTGAGCCACATGGATGGATGGCTCCATTTGCTTCTGGGGGGTCGTGTTCATGGTTGCTGGGTTCCTAGGGGGCCATAAAGGCGAGGCTAAGCCTCCCCGCAGCCGTCTTCAGTTACCTGTCCCCGGTGTCCAGGTAGGGCTGAGGCTCCATTCTTGACCCTGTGATCACAAGCTTGTCTCTGGGTAGACTGGTGCTGGGCGGAGAACGTCGGTGTGTATCACCCTTTCTGATTCTGGCCTGGGCTCCTGGAGCCACCAGGGTTGCGTTCCTCGAGGCCCCAAGACCTAGCGCATCGCAGCCGTTGGTGCTGGCCGTCTCTAGAGGGGAGAGCAGGGTGCAGCCGGCTCCTCGAAGGCAGCTCCTGGCTCTGGCCCACATCTGTGCCTTGCACATCATTAGGTGTTGTATAAACGCCGGTTGCATTTGAGAAGACATGGTCCCTGCTCTCAAGGAATTTATAATCTCGTTGGGAAAGATAATTATAGAATAGCATGAAACAGACATCAGGGAAGTGCCAAAATGGATTGGGATCAAGGAGAAAGTGTAATATATGGGCTGTCGGGAAGGACAGGGCAGCTGCAGGCTGGGCGAAGAGAGGACAGGTGCCCCCCCCCGTTAACCTATGATGTCAGACAGGTGACCCCAACTTGCTGGGCCCTCGTTCCCTCTTTTGTGCAGTGGGGCAACAATAGGCAGCTCCCAGGGTTTCTGCAGCAGTGTAAAGGCGGTGTGTCAAACAGAGAGAACTTAACCCGGCCCCGCTGTGCGGACGGTGCTCTAAAAATGCTAATTTGCCATTGTCTCGGAGCCATGATGGACAATATGATGTTTCCCTCACCCCCTTTCCCTCTAGGGCTGTGCGCCCCACCCCTGGCTGAGCATCCAATCCCCTGGGAACCGTGGAGAAATGCAGGTCCCTGGGCCCCACCCCAGACAGCCGAGTCGGAATCTCCGGTGGTTGTAGCCAGGAATCCGTACTGCGGAGGGGTAGCTTTTTATTTTTCTAAACACCCAGTTACAACATGGTTGCACCATTTCCCCCCCGCCTTTGGAACTCTAGCAAGTTTTTTCCTTTTAAATAGGGAAACCAATTTACGGAATTCAAATATTACTTTAAAAACATTTTTTTTTCCAATGAAGACAACTCACATGCCATAAAACTCACTCTTTTAAGGTATACAAGTTAGTGTTAGTGTATTTACTGTCATCTGGCCATCACTGCTATAATTCCAGAACATTTTCATTACCCCTAAAAGAAAGCTCACACCTGTTAGCCACCACTCCCCCCCCGCGCTCCCCCCCCCAGCTTCACGGTCCTGGAATCCACCAATCAACTTTCCAGCTCTAGAGGTGTGCATATTCTTCAAATGCTACTTTTTTCAAATATGTATATATCTTTTTGTAAATCTGCTTCCTGTCCCTGTGTACGCCTCCACGCCACCCAGCTCCTTTCTCTGGAGGCGACCAGCATTTGTTTATCCTTCCAGAGACAGTGCCCACAAACACACGTGTGGATAGACATTCACGTGTCCTTTCTTTCCGTGAATAGTGGCCTTCCCTTCCCATGTTCCGCACCTTCCTTTTATGCACCCTGGAGATGACTGATATTCTAATATGCTGATATTTCTGTAGATCATTCCACGTTAGTATATGAAGAGCTGTCTTATTCTCAGTAATTATTGCATTACGTTATGTTGAAAGAATATGCTGTAATTTAACGAGTCTTACCAGTGGACACAGGTCATTTCCAACATGATCCTATTCCATTTGTAAAAAAAAAAACAAAACAAAAACGAATGGAACTGCACACAAAAAGCATCCTCTTCACCACCCCTCCTCCTTGGGATTTCCCTCCTCACCTGGCCTTCCAGTGTTTTGCTGGGAGTCAGCTGACTGCTCTAGGCAACTGTGGGGCCTACAGATAGTGGGAGTGTGTGACCTGTGTCTTCTCTGTCCCTCACCTGGCATCACTGTACCTGTTGGCATGCCTGCTGGTGCTGGCCCCCCACACAAGGCAGGTTTATGCCCAGCCCCAGAATCCTCCCTTCGGCAGGTGAGGCCCCTAATGGGACGTGTTCAAATGCAGGCCAAGGAGAGCCCTCCGGAGACTTGCAGGCTCCAAGATGAACGGGCCAAATAGAATATTCGTATCACCCGCCGGGGGCTTGCTCATGCATGCACACACAATGTGGTGACTCGGTGTCTGCTCCATTTTCTCCTCCAGAAGAACAAGAACAAGAAAAAGGGCAAAGATGAGAAGTGTGGCTCTGAGGTGACCACGCCGGAGAACAGCTCCTCCCCGGGGATGATGGACATGCACGGTGAGCTCTCCTGCCCGGCCCTGGGCTGTGGCAGAGCACTCAGCTTTTGTTCTCACCAGCAGGTTTGTTCACATTCCAGGCAAGGGTAGGAGGGCTGGGCCGCACCGGGAGGCCTTGGTGCCCAGGAGAAGCCTCAGCGGAGGAGAAACTTCTTTGCCCAGCACAGCAAGCCAAGAAACGTAAAACAAGAAACAAGCTAGGGACATAAAACAAGACCTTCTCGAGCCCAGTGACACAAACCTTACGGGGGGAGGGGGACGCGACCTTTCAGCCCTGTGTGCGCGCAGGAACTTTTTGTGGGTCTACGATCTATTCCTCTCCTAGGCCTGACCTACCGTAAAATTGACGCCATTTTCCATTTCCTGTTTCTCTTTGGCTGCTGGGAAACTCCAAACTGGATTTCCGCATCCCGTTAATCACTCTGGGACCCGGGGACCTGCGTTCCACAATGACATCCTACCTTCCTTTGCTGTCTTATTTCAAAAGTTACAACCAGTGTCCCCCTGATGGAATCCAGGCTGGAGACCTGCATTAGCCAGTCTGCGGTTTTGACATTGCTCGCGTGAGTTCCCTCTTTACCTCGTTAATGGATAGGAAAGGCACACATCATAAGGGTATGGCTTCACGATAGGTATACAGATTCCATACATCCATACAGCCGGCCCAGGTCAAGACGGAAACGTGCCGTGGCCATCCCCCTGGTGTCCCCTCCTAGTTGTCTCCGCCCCTCCAAGGAACACCGCTGCCCGGCTTCTGACCTGAGAGATTCCAACATGAATTTCTGCAACATTGAGTTTCCGATGTTTATAAACTAGGAAATCTGCATTTATGCCGTACTTTGGGAAATCAGACCCAGAAACTCGGGGAGTGTGTTCCCCTCAAGGCAGCTGTAGCCATTCCTACAGGAGACTGTGGTCACTCCAGGGCCACCTGCTTGGGCTGCCACTAGCAGAGCTGGTACCACGTGCCTTTTCCCATCTCTTGATCCCACTTTCAACATCTTTGTTCTTTTGACCCTGCAGGCCTTTTGTACAGCATGGTGCTATTCGATAAATAAGCACATCGAAAAGGAATAGTGGATTGATCGCGTTTCTGCCCCTCTGGTTCCAGGGCTTTCTTGCTCTGGGGAAGGAGTGCCAGTGAACTTTTGCATTTGCCCAAACTGACCAGTCTGGAAACACAGTCACGAGCTCTGAGGGCAGGGGGGGTCTTGCTTATTGCTGGGCTGGCTTCAGAAAGCACGGGGGGTTTTGCTGACAGCTGACGCGTCAGGAAAGCCCCTCGCTGGCCATACAGTCGCAGTTGAAACATGGAACACAATTGAACCAGGTATTGGAGCAGGGACGTAACCTGCCCCCCTGGCATTGCTTAGATCCCCACTCGCTTGGGATTTGAGAAGGTCCCTGCCTGGCTCACAGGTGAGAGCCTTTTAGAGCAGAGGACAAGATCCCACCTGGGTTCACATCTGGCTCCCTAGGACCCCCCCCCCCCCACAACCGGCTGTGTGATCCTGGGCTAGTTCCTTAGCATGTAACCATCACCTGGGTTCACATCTGGCTCCCTAGGACCCCCCCCCCCTCCCCACAACCGGCTGTGTGATCCTGGGCTAGTTCCTTAGCATGTAACCATCAGATCTGTTTTCAGTCTGCCCAGTGGGAATGGTAATGCCCACTTCATAAGGTCCTTGTGAATATTAAATAAGATAACCCCCTCAAAGCCCTTGGCATGTTAGTAGCTGACGTTTAAGGCTGTCACAGTGCGCCAAAGCATCTTGCTAAGCCCATTTCATGCCTTACCTCCTTCATCCTAAAAACAAGCCCCATTGTGCAGATTAGGAAATGAGGGCTCGGGGAGGTGGCACCCCAGGTTAGGAAGCTCATGGATGCCAGTGCTGGCCTTGAGGTCCTTTGGAGGCAGAATCCAAGTGTGTGGCCACCAGCCCAGGAGCCTCGCTCACGTTCTCCTTTTTTTTTTTTTTAGATTTTATTTATTTATTTGAGAGAGAATGAGAGAGACTGCTCCATTTTCTCCTCCAGAAGAACAAGAACAAGCCACCCAGGCGCCCTCGCTCACATTCTCAGTATCCTTTCCATCTTAGCACAGGTGCAGCTGAGACCCTCCTCCAGCCGCAGGGCATAGATGTGTGCAAAGGCAAGGAAAGATGTGGGCCTGGACAGGAATATCTGCAAGACTCCCAGTGGGGTAGTGGGCATCTGCAGCCACCTCTTTCGAGTCTGAGATTCTATCAACGTTGACTCGAATGTCAGGGTCACATCGTTACCAGGTGACCAGGTTAGGCTCTGGCAACTAACTCGTTAAACATTAGTACTTGTTGTCATTAATTAACATAACTCTGTGCTGGGACCTGTGGGTCAGGCCTCTGCCTTTTACACACATGCACACATAGCTTGGTGTAGGAAGAAGGTTTAGGTTTTCTTCAAAGGCAAATCAGGAGAGTGTGCTTTTTTTTTTTTTTTAAAGTCCCAGAATTCACAAGAGGATCTTTTGTGTAACTAGTACACTTAGAATAAGATGCAGTTTACCTGGCAGGGACTGTGTGACTGCCTGGCGCTTCCTTGGCAGGTTGAGTTTGGAGTTGGGTGGAGCAGCTTGAGCAAGGGTTCTGCCGCTCAGAGCCTCAGTTTCCCCCTCTGGAAATGAGGGAGGTAACAGCACCTACCGGGCAGGTTGTCGGGAGGATGAAACAAGTGACTGTAAGTGTTTTTGCCCAGGTGTCAGCATGCAGTAGGGCCAGGATGTGTGGATGTGCTTCTCCGTGTCTCTTCCTTGCCATCTGTTTCACAAAAGTGGCCTTGGTCCCAAGTGCACAGCATGGCCCAGAAAAGCAGTGTGGTGGTAGTTTTCGAAATCACCACTTGGATATCTGCAACCTAACGTGATTCTCTGCACGTACGACAGGGTCTAGCGCCAAGGGGGTATGTGCCCCCGGACCCCCAGCCCTGCCACTGGCTCAACCATGAACGCAGTGCTCAAATTACTTCTCTTTTTTTCTCTGGATTATGAAAAATTTCATAATTGAGAACAGTAGGAAGACTAGTGTGATGAACTTCATACACCTGTCACCTAGATTTTCACTCACATGCCATGTTTGCCTCATCTTTTTTTTTTTTTAATGTATTAAGTTTTTTAATTGAAATGCAATTTACATAGAAAAACCGCATAGCTCTCGAGTGTTCGGTTCAGGGAATTCTGACAGTCGTAGGCAGCCTGTGCTGAACTGAAGTTTCCCTGCGTTGTGTTTTAAGTCCGTGGCTAAACCCTTCAGCACGTGTCACTAACAACATTTCTATACACCTGCCGTGCTGTTTTCACTCCTAACAAAAGTAACTCTTATTCCGTCATATCTTCTAAATCCCAGACTATATTCTAAACTAAATTCCCCAGCTGTTCCAAAATGTCCCTTACGAGCTCGCACATTCAAAACAGAATCTAAATAATTTTCACATGTCCTTAATTTAGCTGTTAATTCTCTTAAATTTCTTTACAATAATTTTCCCTGCTTCTCTCTCCCTCCCTCCCTCTCCCTCTCCCTC